TTTTTTTAATTATTGAGATCAAGAGATTGAAATCTACTAGAAATAAGTAATATTTGAAATGGTTAATAATAGCGCCATAGCTTTTGTGATTTGATAAAAAGAAAAAGCATTAATTATAAAGAAATAAATGACAAACTAGTAATAATAAGCACTATTACTAATGTAAAAATTGCTATATAAGCTAATAAAATTTTAATGGAAAGTTTGTGAAAATAATATATTTTGTATAAATGTATGATAATTTTCATTCTTGCTCACTCAAAGCGAATATAAAATTATACAGATGGTACTCAACGAAAAAATGAATTTTTGTCAGAAATGAAATTATGATTATGATAACTTACGAAAATATAATCTTATGGCTGTAATATGATCTTTAATATCATTAGTCGAGTTAGACTTACAAGTTAGTTTAGATGATTACTTGAATGAAGCTTTAATTATGGTTAGAATGTGGGTGAGTTCAAATTAGGGCTGCCCGGTGTTGACGTGGGCGTTGATGGGGTACCTGGTGGCGATGCCTCCAACGGGCAAACCAAATTGCCGAAATCCATCTCGTTTTTACTCTTTTTGCGTTTCAGTGTGAATTGAGATTTCTTTGGCACCTGATTTAAAATCATCATTTAAAATTAAGAAAATTAATATTATGATAAAACAGATATGTGAGATAATTACAAGAGTATAAGATTAGCTTTTATCTGGTACAAGATAACGGCATAAAACGTATACCTTTAATCTAGCAGTAAGCGTTAATGGAACGAATCCAAGTGTACTCTCTATCTCTCGTTTTTGTTGAACTACCTCTCTACCAAGAATTTGATTAAAGTGCGTCGTCAGGTGTCTACGAAGTAGAGTCTTTGCCGGTGGAATGCTGAGCAATGTGGCGAGCAGTTCGGAAGTGAATCGACCTTCGTGGATCATGAGACCACCGTGAACACCGGAGCCACGCATGTTCGGCGCATATTCCGCAAGATCCACTACTCGCAACCACTCCATCACACGATGATTCGTCCAGAGAGTCACGTTCGTACCATCAGCACCATTTCCATTCACAGATCTCCTCTCCAGATTGTCAAACTCGAAGTTCAAATCTCGTAAAACCTAGAATTTGAATTTCGTTTTATATCGATTCCAAATTTATACTTACAGATCGTGTAATATCTATATGTGATGTAATCGTCGTATTATACAGTACCTGAATTCCACGTCTTAAACTGACAGCGTGTAATTGTGCAGTCACTCCCAGGTTCAAAAGATCCTCTGTAGTCAATCTATGTAAAACTCTGCCATCAATTTTCGCGTTATGGAAGGCTTCCTTGTGTTGCGGTAAACCGATATCGTCTAGCCATCGTAATACGGCTGCATTGTCCATCTGCAAGATATCAGAAAGAATTTTAAACTTTTTGAATTCTTTTAAATAATTCGATAAAATTATAATAATACGTTGATCGTAACCTTGTGAGAACCGAGAAATTCAGTGCCGTTGCTTCGTTCTGATTCGATGGCATAAAGTAACTTTTTTCTATGTAGCGCGTTCTTTATATCTAACTCTTTCTCCAATTGCACCTGCGTGGCATCGAGCAATTTCAATCCAGTGGCACCCCATCGTCTTAGTTCGGCGGCGTAACATTCCAGACCAAGGCAAGATAACCAATCACTGATTTCTTCCATACCGAGTTCCGCGAGTGGTTTCGATGGCGTCAATTCCACCTGCGCGCTTGCTTCACTGATCACAATTTTCGATTCTTCCGCTGTGATAATAATACTCGTTTATATAACATAAAATTTTATATATGGATATTAAATGCAAGTCTGCATTAAGATAAGTTCGACACAATCCTTTATTTTATTTGTGCATAGTTCCGCAGATACTTATCGAAGCAACATGTAATTATAATAACTAAATTATATTTTAGCTTCATAAAATATCATAAATGAAATGATCAAATTATAATGATAGAATTACAATGAGAAGAAAGCATTTAAAAAATATTTTATTATTTATATAAAAATTAATTTGCAAATAATTAAATAATAATATATTAAATAATTAAATGGCGGACGCCTAAATGCATGCGCATCAATGTGAGTAATCTGCAAGCGAATTATTTTTTTATTAATCGCAACAACGTGCTGTTACATGCTGCGAGTCGATTAATATTGTCTAACGTATTCATCGTTAGAAAGATTTAAATGACACCGCATGCTTAGATAAAGATCGATCGGAACCTAGAATAGGAGCGGACAGACATCTCGCAGAGACTCCCTTAACAGCCAAGGGTACCGTCGTATGTGCTCCTGAGACTAAATTTGGAACCTTACCAAATACAACGCCTTTCTTCGATGTCGGTGGCCTAGGAAGACTACTATATTGACCCGTATGTCTGCTGAATCTCTCACCCTGTAAATATGGAATTGCTTGCTTAGCGATTTTATGTAGCATTCTATAATATGAAATTTACATGTAGATTACATGTAGAATTTTACATGTAAAATTTTATATATTTTTTAATTATTTAAATATATACTAACATTCGATAAAGGACTCGTGCTACGCAGCGACAGATTTTCGTGTTCCAAACTAGCTTGTCTGAGTTTCATTTCCGATAAGGAGGTAAGAAGTTCCAATTTTTGTGTCTCCAAAGCGCTTCTCGATAGAACTTCCTACAAAACGAATAAGAATGTGAAACTGTAACCAAGTGATGTAAAATATTAACATTAATGCATGACATTTTACTTTTTGTAATGCTTCTTCCATTTGTCTTAAAGTATCTTTCTTTTCCTGGAGCAAGCTCTCCAGCTCTTGAATCTTATTCGACTGCGCATCTACTTGTTCGGATAAAACTGACACTTCCATATGAAGTGCTCCACGTTCGCTTTCCAATTTCCTTAATCGTTCCTGAAAAGCAAACCGATTAATTTAATTAATTTATTACTAACAAAATTTCGTTTCATTATTTTAAAATGCGGAATGTAACGCAACATAAATATTTTTTTTATTCATAAAGGAAAAATTGGGGAAAAATTTGAATTTATGGCATCACACAATCAAAAGTTTTATTGATAGTTCTTTTATACAATATACCTCGGTTTTGCTATAATAATCATTTATGCACATATTGCTTCCGTAGTGAAATTGCTGTAGCGAGCAATAATGATGCGGCCTGTCCCTCTCATGGCAGATTAGATCGCTGTGAGACATAGCTCTCTGATCGCGGTCTATTCTGCTGCGGAATCTGCGTCGCCTTCTGTCCAAAGAACCGGCGCATCTCCCTGTTGAGCTTACCGGCAAGGATGTCGTACTATTCGTTCTGCTACCCGCGTGCATTTCTCGTTCTTTACCGAATATTGGTTCTTGTTGCACGGGACAAACGTGCGGATAATGGGCGACGCCTCTCGCGTGTTCCTTAACGTGATGCGCGAGCTCGCTAGAGATGCTGTCGGTTTGCAAGAATCGATAATTTTTTTAGATTTCATTAAAAACATTTATATCTGCGAGGATATAAAAGTTAGAATGCTATACAAACAGAGCGACCTTGAGCATGGCATCGTGTAAACAGAGGGAAAACTTCCCAGATGCGCAGTTGACGCTGGGCATATATTAGCCATGCCGCTGGTACAGATATTAGGCATACTCCCTTGAAGCGCTATCATCTTGGCATAGCCGAGTAAGCAAGCCTACAACGATATTATCAGTATCTCACGGTGAAAGATATCTCACTTTTGTTTCACATAACTAATTTTACGAATTAGAATGTGTAAATACAATACATAGCGTCTCGTATATGAATATTGTTTCGAACTCAATCTTTCTATCTTAGGTCTACCTGACACAAACATTCCTGCGATCGGTAGGGTGCCTGGCCTTCAGATAAGTCCGCTCTGATCTCTCGCGGATAATCCTCAACGTAATCGTCGCCCATGTCGGAGTTCGTCGACGTGCCCGATGAATCGTAACCCTCTGAGGGCGTCCATCGACTGTTCCAGCGCTTTATAGTCGATGCCGCATCCGACGAGTCTGAACCTGAATTTAGATACGGTTGAAGCTTTTTTTAATCCATACGCATGAGGAGTTCAAGAGGTTTCTTCCATCGATAGCATCGCGATGAGTTTTCGAAGATTGTAATACGCGCCAATCTATTTTTCGCATTGAACAGTGATCCCCAATGTGCATTTACTTTAACAGAGATTAAAATAATAATCGATACTAAATCATGTATTATATTAGTACTCAAGATATGAATCAATGAACGTATGCGACTTCGGCGGTCAACTACGGTCGATGTGGTTAAGGCAATCTATTTTGAGCGTGCCGTTTATTCGGACTCTATCAAAAGCTTAACTCCGGTGCACTGGCCAGCCAGCCGCACGATTTTAGTACCGAAACGCGACGAGTCTCGCGAACTCGTCTGTCGGACGTCTGCCAAATTATATCGTGCCGTTTAACTAAAATCACTCAAGTATTATGGCTTTACTTCCGTGAAGATCATAAAATCGTAAAGCTTTCCAAATAAATTTTAAAATCGATTAAATTAAAATTAAAATCAATCAACTTTACGAGTATTTTTAATTTAAATACGATGTAAATAACGGAAGATAAATATCGACTTAGTATCATTTTAATTGTCCAATTTTAACAAGAATTGAAGAGAAACCTTTCGCTTGTCCTTTATCCTCTTCTTCCATTATAGGAGCGAGATCCTTTCGTTCTCCAACGATACTATCATTCCACGTGTTTTCCATGATGGATTTGTTCGCACGTTTTATTCCTTTAAATTGTTCCGTTTATTTTCTGTTATTATGATCGTAGATCTGATCCAGATAGATGATAGATAAACTAATATCAATATGCCAACAAATATCACATTTTTGTTATTTACTTTCTTCCACAAAATCACTGTCACAACAATCACTCGGTATAATAATATTACCGAACACCATGCACTATATAAAGTACTTTCAGGACTCCAATATCGATGGGTTTGTACACAATCGAATGTTATCTCAGTGAAGTGCTCTCTCGCGCTGCCAGTCGCGGCATCGTCTCCGTCGAAACTAAAATTAACGCCATGAAATCCTTCGAGAAGAGTGGGAGGGAGCAAGCAAAAGAAAGAGAGAAAGAGAAAGATGCAACAGCAATTTATAAATAGATCAATGTTCTCTCTTCTCCTTACCTATGAAGATCGTAGGCGATTCCTCCTTTCTCAGCTGCTTAAACTCTACAAAAAATAAATAATTTTTTAATAATATCTTAACTATATATAAAATGTATAAATATTTAAATATTATTCTCATCTTGCTATTAATTTAAAAGTAACAATTTAATTACATAGAAATTTCATGTTATACTTACCTGTTTTGCAGGAAAACAATTTCGCTGATAATTTTATATTCATATAACAAATTAATTAATTGAAAATGGATCGCTAAAGTCATAGCTGATTTAAATCGTCGATCAGCATCACGTTCGTGATTACGAGTCCAACGATTACAAAGTCAGGATGTACATGCGGACATACGTGACCGGTATGCCGCGGTGATCGAAACACACGCGTGCACCCGGACACGTGCGCACCAATACGACGCGTGTACCGGATGCGAACGTCGTTCCGGACGGATGCACGCGACGGATATCACACGTGTTCCACCCGCGGCGACGATCGCGCGAAACGTTCGCGTTTCCGGAGTGCGCCGCATCCTGAAAAGCGGAAATCGCGGAAGGGCAAAATCGAAATGAGGATACGACGCTCGTCCTTCGCTCGCCGCCGAGTGTGCAAACTGCGTAAAGTCAACGGAACAGAGATCGCTATCTCCGTCAGCTCACCGGTTGCATCCACGCCAACAGGATGTTCTGGGTGACGCCATCAGGCGGCGGGGGTGGCATCGGCGCGCTCTTTATTGCGGTCACGAGATTCCTCGTTGCCTCCTTCACCGAGTTCTTCCACTCCATGCTACTCTCGGCCGAGCTTTCGGCACAGGCACCTGCAAAAAAATATATTTTACAATACGATGATTCTGCAGCGAGAATCTGCGGCGCATATCAATCGAGACTCAGTACGAAAGCAAGGTGAGCCGCAATCTATAATTTATTTCAAACAATTACATTCATATCTGAGCCTGAAGTGGACATTATGAATTATGAGCTTATCAGTTCTTAGACTTAGATTACTTTTTAATCTTCTCTTAATAAAATGAGCACAAAGGTGCTGATATCTCTTTAGAATCTTAGAAGGCGATAACATTTACAAAAAATATGGACACATAAATAATACATTTAAATTTAATATATATGAATTTGATATGCCTGTAAATTTCTCTTGTACCGGAAATAATATCGTCCATCTGGAGCAACGCGGCCTCCAGCATCTTGCTGGCCTCGTTCGAGCTCTTCGCCAGGAACGTCGACTCGCTCGCCTGCGCCGTCGTGCCGTTTCTCTCCTCACCTTTGCCCATCACTTAACGCTGCAAAAAAAAGTTATTATTTTTACACGTTCCTCAAACAATGCTCTTCTTTCCGATGTACCCCGCAAAAATTTTTCCCATAAAGTTTGCGAGCATCTCTGCGAGCAAACATGTTTGTCAGAGGCTGCAATGACGAGACAAAGACTCAACTGCTGATTCATACGATTTTCCAGACGATGTAGCTTCCACCGAGATGCGATGCATCCGTCAGAAGTAATTACGTTCAGAAGTGCAATCTGATAAATAGTCTTGAATATGCGGATGAAGAAGAGGCAAATAGATTTTAAATTACATATACTTTTTAATCATCCATATAATGTCATGTAACTTAGATATTTGACATTTTTAATTTTTATTTCATTTTCTCCATAATTTAGCATAGTATTTTATTGTTCTATCATTTTTGGTGATCAAGCAGTCTGACTTTATGATAAAAAGAAGGGTTATAATTAAGGAAAAGTTTTATAGTAAAAAATATTCAAAAATTGAAAATTAAGTATTAATGTTCACATTTTCCAAGATTAATGTACAAGTTATATAAATTTTATTCATAAAAGAAGATTTGAATTATAAATAAGGATTAAATGTTTTTTTAAAAGATTCTGTATAAAATTGTCAATATAAATATTTAAATGAAAATGTGGATTTGTTTAGAATTAAGAAATAAATTTATATAACTCCAAATTATACATGATCATCGTTATTTTTAAATTAATTTTGTTGAGAGCAAAACATTAGTTTGCATTCAATGAAATTATATTCGATTTTTTTAAAATGGCAAAATCATCTGTAAAATTAAACATCCATTGTAAACAAGAAATTAACACAGCGCTTTAGAAAAAAAAATCAAAGAAAAAAAAATATATCGTTTATGAATAAATATGTCGAGCTCAGGAGCCATTGAGGAATACTTAACATACGTAAAACGGACGTTCTTATCAATGATAAGGCACACGAATTTGATGATCGATTGCGGAAAAAAACATTAGCCTAAATAATGAATGAGATAGACCGAGATGCAGAGGGAAAAGGGGAGGAGGGAGGGAGGAAGAGAGGGAGAGAGGGAGGGAGAAGAGAGAGAAGAGAGAGAGAGAGAGAGAGAGAGAGAGAGAGAGAGAGAGAGAGAGAGAGAGAGAGAGAGAGAGAGAG